GCAACATGATAGTTCTTTTTGAATCCGAAGAATATTTCTATATGGGGTGCTGCACCAGAGGCGTTTGAGAGTTAAAATGAGCTCGTCCATTTACATTTAATTAAATACTATTATATTAAATACTGCTAACACTCTTATGCTCTTGATAAACTTTTTGGAGGCCTTCTTGTTGGTTAGTTACTTGTCTACTCTTTCTATGGAAAATGGGCCCGTCCCTTTACCCTTAGTTAAATATTACTATATGTTTATTCCCAATGAAGTTCAACATGTGACTTGAGCCGAACAACGGGTATTGAACTTTCAGTTTAAAAAAAAACAAGGGGTATTGAACTTAAAAAAGTACCTTTGTTTTGCTGCTGTGTTAATTAGCTCAAAATTATCCATCTACGGATGGGAATGAGAAGCAGGAAGACGGGGAGAAAGTGATAAGTGGTTTATTGGACGGAAGTTGGAATATACTCTTGTATATGAAGATAATAAAGGTGACAGGATCCTTGTTGGGGATGTTCCTTAGAAGTAAGCATCCTAGCTCTCTCTTTATCTATGGATCTGATACTCTCACTTAAATTATTGTTTTTCCTTTTAATATTCTCGCATTATTAGCATATCTTAATTCTCAATTTATATTTGGATCACATTTAGATCCACATTTTCTCTCTGAAAGTTTAGAATGAAATGTTATTATTTTAACTTAAGTAGTACATAAGACAAAAAAATGGATCTTTTCAGTACCTGTACGTTTTTGTGTTTATTGTCAGCCTGAGATAGGATTCATATAAACATAAAAAGCCATAGTGCACCAATAAAGGTTACAACACAATATTTGGAGACTAATGGCCTTAAATGTTTCGTGTACACATTCATGTGGTAGTTTTTATGGTTCGTTCTAGTGGTTTAACGGGTGACATTTTCAGCATGTTTGTTTCTACTGTGAAAAGGTCGTGTGTGTTGAAAAGCTCCGACCTCTCTACACTTACTCATGCTAATATGTTTTTTGTTCTTAATTATAGTCGTTGTGTTTTTTGCTGGGAGAGAATAATAAGAAACAGTATTCAATTTTTGTTGGGAAAAGATGTTAGATTTTTGCTAGGAGGAATTTATAAGAAAAGATGTAAGATTCTTACATGTCACTGAATTGTTTGCTGGGAAAAGATATGACTACTGTAGTGAAGAATAGGTGGGAAAAGATATGACAAATGTAGTGAAGAATAGGTGTTTGAGCATAAATGTGTAAACTATTACCACTTTTGTCTTTTTCTTGTTTTTATTTATAAGTTACATCAATTTATTTGTTAGACATTTCTAAAGAAGGAACTTTCTCTTCTATAATCTTGACTTCTCTATTTTCAAAATTCCTGGAAAGTTTAAGGCATTAAATATTAGATGGTAATATATATTAAGTGAGCTTATTATTTGATATGCTGTATATAATGTATTGTGTTCTAGTCGGATTTGAAATGAAACGTGGCTTGATGGATTCTTTTACAAACCATGCAATCATGATTTATTTGTCAAGCACACTCTTAAAATGGAAATGGTCATTGTCATGGCAAGGGTATGATTGCAATAACTTCATATGTTTCTAGTTATGGTTACCTTTTGATCCACTTCATTGCTTTGTAACTTTACAGGAAGCTAGTGTGGACTGGCTCATTCATCTTAATACTGATGAGCTAGTGCATCCAGCTTGAACTAGTGAGTATTCTTTAAGGAGACTTCTAACAGATATACCTAAAGATGTTGACATGGTCAAATTTCCTAACTATGTAAGTCATTGAGATTGCTATAGGCTGTATTCTAACCCTGTCTAAGCATGTAATTACATGCACGAATAGTCAAAAAGCATGCATTTACTTCATTTGAATATTCTGCTGTCTTTTTTCTTGTTAATATCTTCGCTGATGATGACAAATATTTTAGGAGAGCAGTGTTGAGAGAGATGATGTTAAGGAACCTTTTAGTGAAGTAAAATATCTTTTCACTGTATCCTTTTTTCTTATCTTTCAAGTTTGAGTGTGAAATTCAATCGTTTGGGTAGGAATAGGTTTAGATTATGTTGAAATAAATTTAAATAATTCTATTACCCAATAATTGATAATGGAGCAACATCTAGTAGTCAAAGAGTCATCTCTTTCCAGACGAATGAAAAATAAGGTTGTGTTGGAGTTAGACACTGTGGAGGCAAGAAAGTAAAATTCTACCTTGCAAATATAAGTAGCTTGAGTATTAGACCTTACTCTTTGTTTGTAGAAGCCAGAATTTCTTCGAGAAAGTTTACGTAGTCTGTAATTTGTTTTAATTATTCAACTAAAGTTCTTTTAGACTATTTACCAGTAATACATCAGTATCATGTGGTAGGTCTCGATGTTCAAGAAGATCTACGACCTTCTCACAGAAGAAATGTACTGTGGACACTGCAAGGAAGCAACTCGTGGTAATCCTAACTACTTTTTGACTTACGCAAATGGCAAATCAGCTGCTTGAATTCAAGATCATCTTCGTCCTAATGGTGCTCATAGATGTCACAACTACATGAAAAGCCCAAAGTATGCTTTTTCTGCATGTTACTTGTTTTTCTCTAATCCCTATTTCGTTCTTATTTATTCCCAGTCCTTCAAAAGGTATTTTCCATGGTTCCTTCGATTCTATGCTTGTCTTGGTGTAGAATATCTTGGTTTTATTGGAGTTTAGTTTCTTCTTTTTCTATGCTTAGTTTGGTGCGACTGCTATCCTGATTTGCAGGACCCTCTTTGGAGTAAAGTGTATTGATCTTGTGTGTTTGCGACTGCTACCAGCCTTTGTGTTTGCAGTAGAGTGTATTGATATTCTGTGATTGTGACTCTGTTTTACAAGAATTTGTTATGTCATCTTACCCTTTTTCCACCTTGATTTCAGCTTGAGTGTTGGTACCCTGCCCCATGGGATGTAAAAAAAAAATATCTCCTTTAAAGTTAATGAGAATTCCACCAATTCCTGTTCTGCCTGGGTTACCAAGAGAATATCTTTGAATTTTTCTCTATCTAAATGTATAGGAATTCTTGGAGCTATAATATAGATTAGAGCTTCATCTGAAAGTTCCATGCTACACCGAAAGTAAAACGAAGTTGAATTGTTGCAGCTGAATTGTTGAGCTCCATAGATTAAAGTAGAATTCTAGGAGCGCTAAGATTGGAGCTCTAAATTGCTTTTGTAACTCTGTTGCAGTTGAATTCATTTTCTTGTTGAATTGTGGGGCATCTGTATTGATTTGTGAATTACACATCCACTCAATTCACTTTCATGAAATCAGAATAATGTTCTAGCTTCTAGGAGGAATTTGGAACCTGCAATCCGGAATTGTAATCTGTAATCTGCAATAATCTGAAATCTGGAACTGTAATATGTAATCTGCAGTCACTTGTCTTAGAGAAGAATGCAATATTTCTTCCCTTACATATTACCACTCTCTCAACTTCCACTTGCCAGTACTAGGTAACCAAATAATTTTATTATAGTGATTTATTTATGATCGAAGTGACTTGATTGTATCAATATCTTTTACGATGTTAAGTAACTGAGTCTAAGATGTGTGTGGCACTCCACACCTTTTCCTTTAGGAAGATGGAGGAAAAAAAGCAAAGAGAGACATGAATTTTATGTCTTTTTATTTGGGTTATAGTAACTTTATACTTTTATTATACAAGACCCTTTACTCCAACAATCTTCTAACTTCTATAATTGCTGCAATTTGATTTGTTGTACATGGTTTGTTTTGATTGTTAATTTACTTTTAATTGTATAGGGAAATGGAGGTGATCAAATTTGAAGGGTCGCCACATGTCAATTTGATCTTATTGATGTGGAAGTTGATAAAAAGAGTTTACGAAATATTGTACAAGTTTGAATACATTATATTTGATTTTGGAAATATATTCATTCCTAGAATATATTGAAATATTGTAAGAGTACTTTTTGAACTATTATGTACAGACATCTAGAATATTGCTTTATACTTACATAAGACAACTATCTTTTGAAGTTTATTGCAAATCCATATATTTGAATTACTTATTGTCTAATTTAATAATTGAGATTATTTATTGCAAAACAATATTGGTGTTTTTTGATTAGAAATTGTGGCATATAAATATTTTATAGACAAAATAATATTACCATACTTAAAAAGTGTAGCCAAAGTACTTTAAATTGTGGTTACATGGGCAAGGACTAAACTTTGTCATACCTAAGATAAGAAGGAAACACTTTAAAATCATGGGAAATAAGGAAACGTAGGCCACACTAGGCTTATCGATTATAAATTTTAGCATGAACATTAGAAAACTTACACTTAATAGGTATTGTTGTAGATGAGATATAAAAGACGACACTTGTGACCAATTACAATAGCTCAAGTACTTTAATGGTTGAATTTTAATTTATACATAGTGACTATGGTAGTCGACAAGTCTTTTTCAACGATCAGTTTGCCGACTACTCAAAAATCATCAGAAAATGATTCAGACCAATTTTGAAGTCCACAAACAACAAAATCCTTGTGGTGTAATGTATTCTACATTTGTATTAAACGCCTCTATTTTAGCAACACTTCTGTTAAAACTCGCTAAAATCCATGACATTATATGAAAAATGTCACTAAAATCAATGATATTTTGCGATAAATGTCATAACATATTCGATATTTATATTAAATATCACTATATAAGCGATATTTTTCTAGATGTCACTAAAACTAATGACATTTTATAATAAATGTCATATTATATTCGACATTTGTAGTAAATGTCATCATTTTAATTACATCTTCGCTAAATGTCGTTAAAACAATGATATTTACAACAAATGTCATAATTTTAGTGACATTTTTTCTAAATGTCACTATTTTAGTAACATTTTTTCTATGTTACTAAAAATCAATTACATTTTGCAATAATGTCATATTATAATCGACTTTTGTATTAAATGTCACTATATAAGTGATATTTTTTTAAATGTCACTAAAACCAATGACATTTTGTAATAACTATCATATTATATTCGACATTTGTAGCAAAATGTCATATTATATTCGACGTTTGTAGCAGAATGTCATTTTTGCTAAATGTCACTAAAAACAACGACATTTTGCAATAAATGTCATTATCATAGTGATATTTTGGAGCAAATGTCAATATATTTATGACATTTGATACCAAATGTCAATATTTTTACGATATTTGACATCAAATATCATTGTTTTATGATATTTTGTTCTTAAATATTGTGAAATTCTTTATTTTCTGACATTTGTTTCAAATGTCACCAAATTAATGTCATCGTATATACATTTTCTTGCAGTGAGACCAACACGTTTGAGAACTAGACTTGTGTGTACTAGGGTGTCCTTGTAGGTTGTATGCGTTTTTATGTGTTTTGAATAGTAAAAAATAAGTTGAGGTGACCCTAGCGTCTTAATATTCGAGTTTAGGGTCAAAACATTCGGGCATGACTTCCCAAGGACTAACCAAAGGGTCCTTGAGGAGGACCCAAAGTTTGGCAAGGAGGTTGCCAAGGCAGAGTGCAAACAACCCCTTTTTGAGGGTGGTTGCGCATCGCGCCGTTGACACTTAAAAGGAAAAATGTTTGCCTTGGGATGTAAGCTTGTCATGAACCATTTTGCCTCAAACTAAATCCAGAACCAAGAATTGGAAGTATCCCCGTGATGCGCAGCCGTGTCCCAGATTTGGTCGTGTCGTTTTAAAGTCAAATTAGACTTTGTTAAAAGGTCCAGTTTGTGTAGGGGTGTTTGGGTACTTTGTGGGATTTATGATAAAAGGTTTTTGAGTCACTTTTACCCCAAATTCACCAATCAAAACAAAACCCTCAAGTTGAAAATTAAAAGCTCTCCATTCGTTCTCTCCAAAACCTCCATTGATGTGCTTTGAAGCTCTAAGGAAGAAAGCTAAATTCTCCAAGATTCAACCCTAATTTCGTGGTCTTTCTACCAACAAGGTATGGTGATATCATACTTGATTCTTCTATCATTAAAAGAACCATGTCAAAGGCTTTTCAAAAGATCTAAACAATCCTAAAAATTCCTATTTCGAATTTTAAGCATGAGTTCTTGCATTAAAAGGCTTCAATGAATGAATTATAATTTTTTGACTTTGAATTATTGGTTTCATGATCAAAAACTCCATGAACCCATGAGCATCCTAGTTCTCTTATTTTGGCTTATGAAGTGGGTTTGATGAATTGGTTGGATATTGTTAGATTTGTGTTTATACTATGTTGTATTATGGTTATCTACTGCTATTCATGCCTAGTTATGATGAATTGTTGGAGAATTGAGAAAAGGTGATCATGGCTTGGATGAAGGGTAAGTTGACCTAAATTGTTCTAGTTCTTATTGAATTGATCTTTGTGTTGTATGGTCCATGTATGGTGGCGGTGTTTAGTTAATGTATATGAATATATATATATATATGTGTGTGTGTGTGTGTGTGTGTGTGTGTGAATTATGATTATGGACTTGAAGGCATTGAATGTGAAGTAAAGTAATGCCATGATGCTTATGTATAGAGATGTATTGTGATAACATGCATGTGATTTTTTGAAGATATCGTGATTATTGAAGTATGATGTGAATGTAAAGTATGATTGTGTGTGGATTATGATTAATGTAGCATGATCATGTTTAGAAGACAATATCATGATGATGGTGGTTACGTGAAAGGCTTTCTCACATATATAGACACACAAAATTAATGAATGAATGATGCTAATGAAAATGTAATGAATGCGAGTCTATCAAAAGGTTTTATCAATCGACCTCAAATGAATGAATGCGGGATTTTCAGGTGGACACTCTTCTTGAGTAGAGATGAAGTGTCTAGTAACAACCTCAATATCCCTAAGAGTCTTTCAATGAATGAATTATATGTTGGGATGGATACTCTTCGTATGTTGAGATGTAGTACTTAGTATCAAATCCTTAACCTATAACTAATGAATGTAATGAAAGTCTAAAACTCCTGGCGATTAATGCTTAACATCGAGAGGATTTGAAAAAGGGGTGGATACTCTTTGTGACTAGAGATGTAATATCCAAAAGTAACCTCTTGAGATGGGCACTCTTCGTTAGTTGAATGTAGTACATTGCAGCAATCTCCTTATCCCTTAACTATGTGCTCATATAGGACTAGCTAGTGGTGTTCCACGTAAAGGATAAAAGAATGACCCTACCTTAGGCAAGTGGGGATCCATCATCATGTAGGGGTTAATACCGGGATTCCATGTTAAGTTTCTATGGTTTATGTTGCTTAAAGCTAGCCCCCACAAATGAATGTAATGTACTAGGTCTTCCTAAGGGTGTACTGCTTAGGATAGGTGGTGGAATGGGATGCCATCTATGCATTGCTCAAGTAGGCATTTGGAGGGAGTCTTGGTGCATCCTTGTAATGTTAACGAATGAATGGGTTACTATATGATGTTAATGAAGTAAGTTGACTTTATGTCCAACGTTAATGAAACATGTTATTATGTCTAATGTTAATGAAGGCTATGTAAATGGATGAATATGACGGGTCTAGTCTAGGGTGGTTTCAAGGGAGAACTAAGTGGGAGTAGTAGAATGGGATTCTACTTTCACATTGTACTATTGTAACTTGGAGTTATCCTAGGGGATGGTCTCTATGTGGAGTTCTTAAATGCATAAATGTGTTCTTTAGTAAATCTAGTAATGAATGTTGACCTGTTGAGTTAAGCTAAGATATCCTTGTATTTGGTAGTCTTAAGGGACATTTAGGTGTGCATTGAAGAGGTTGTATGGGTGGTCTCTTCATTTATTACCTAGGTGGGTCTTGGAATAACTTTTGATTGAGGGTCTAAATGATTAATGCGTTACTTAATGAATCTGGTTATATGTTGAGAATTATGGAAGCATTACCTTTATGTTTATAATGACTTGTATGATGTCTTTTACACTTGGTTCATGTAGTTTTATCCAAATTGCATGAAAAAAATATTTCAACTAAAATGTCCATTTTAAAGTATGTTTTTGCATGATTGCCATACTTAGTGTTAATTTTACTAACTCCATATTCTTCTCTGTTTCTACAAGTTAGGTGGAAGGAAATGAGGGTCTTAGAGTTGAAGCTTGGGAAGTAGATTGCTCTCTCAGGAATCTTGGTACGTACTCATATGTGCGAGGACGTGGATGTTATTTTTAGTTTATTTTCTATTGAAGATTTTGTATTAGACATGAATTTCTTTTATATGCAAGGGTCGTAACCCTATGATAATAAGATGTGTCTAAGATGGTTTGTGTTGATGAGACTTAGTTCTTCTTACGTTTATAAAGGAGTTTATCATTGACTTTATCTTGAAAAGTTTTAATTCCGCACTAATTTTCATACATATATGATGAACGAAAGCTAAAAGGCTTGTACAAGACCTCCGAGAGATCAAGTACGGCGTGTTACTTCTAGGAAGTATTCCCAGTCGTAAAACACACTTCTAGCCTAAATTCATGGACCATTGATGATAAGTATCCCTAGTTAACCAATTTGACCCTTATAATAATTTATTTTCTTTGATTAACTGATACATTCCTTTAGTCTAATACACTATGTGTTACTCTCTTAATTGAAATTATTAGTGGGAGTACAGAGAATTCTATTACGAAAACAATTTGTTTTTTTAACAAAGCAAAAAAAAAAAAACAATTGAATCTAGTCGTGTGTTGAAAAGTAATGAAAGTTTTTTGGATCTGTTTTCAGAAGAAGGTGACAGTTGCCTGATAGAAAAAGAACAAAAAAGTGAAAAGAGAGGGGGGACATGACTTTCTACAAACATTTTACCACAAATTACACCCGTGCAAGTCCTACATGATTTTAACATGAGAAGTCCTACATTAGAGGAGAAATGCTCAATTGCCAAGCCTATGGTATTCTTAAAAATATGATGTACTTCTTTGTGAGAGGGAGTGAAATAAGAGCGTTCTTTGTGTGATTCACAAGCATGAGTATTGTTAGTAAAAGACATT